ATTTACAGCAACACGCTAGCAAATATATGTAAACGATTATCAGTACCATGAAGGTGAGTGATTAGTGGTCATAATAAGCTGAGGAACGTATACACTTCCTTCTTTATTGGTGGTAAATTTTGATGAGAAAAATCGGTTAAAAATGCGGGAATCGGGTGTGTAACTCTTGTTATTTATCTACTCTTGGAATGTTATGCTCTTTGAAGAATCTAGAACGTTGTACTTGACATTCATAGACTGTCTCCTCTTCTGTTTGTTCTGTGTTGGCGGTGGTTGGCGCAGCGACGTTGCGCCGAACTAAGTGACATGGAGCGAGTGTACTGGGTCAGGAGTTATACTAGCTACTGAGATTATGCATAACATGAGTGGGGTGTGGGGGGGGGTGTTGGTGGGGTGGGATGGGGTGAGGTGGGGTATAGGGTGGGGCGGAATGGGGTGAGGGTGGGGTGGGGTGGGGTGGGGTGGCGGATGTGGCAGGGGGCGGGGGCGAAATTTTTTTCCCACTTGAGTTCCGGACCCACCATAGATAGTGTTTTGTAATAAATGGTGCTTATATATATGGTTGGATTATAGTTAGTGTTAGGGTTCTGGTACGCGTTAGGGTTAGGGTTAGGGTTAGGGTTAGGGTTAGGTATAGTCGGTATTCATTTTACATTGTTGCTTCGAGGAAGTCGAGTGAATGGAGTGCGCTGATTGGCTGTGGTCCGGAACTCAAGTGGGAAAAAAATATTTGCGGGCGGGTGTGGTGGGTAAGACGTCACAATTCACCCCTGTGTCCCACGGCAAGGTCACGTTAATTCTAAAATTATAAAGTCCGAATCACAGGCGGACATATTGTGTGGGAGAAAGTTCAAACATCGCTGATATTATAAAGGATCGTTTGATTATTAAGAAGTGTTATACGCCATCGAGAGTGATTAAAAGTGAAAAATGTCGATAAAAAAAAAGTTAGGGTAGGATGTTATAGGATGTGATAGGGTGGGGTAGACAAGATCGGATGAAGCAGGTAGAAGGAGTGGGATGGAATGCAATGTATAGGATGAGATAGGATGGGATGGGGTGGGATGGATGGGATTAATTGGATGGGATGTGATGGGGTGTGATGGGATGTGGTGGTATAAATTAGGATGGGATGGCGCAAGGTGGTGTGGGCGGGGGGGGGGATTGGTGGTGATGGAACGAGTCAGAACAGAATATAACATGACAGGAAAAGACAGAGCAATAAAGGACGGAACTTGTTTTACGACGGAATAAAACAGAACAAAACAAAACAAGAAACTACGGAATAGTACGACAAAGTACGGGACAGTATATGAGAGCTATCGTACATGAGTTCCGCTTACCTCTACAGTCTGTGCACTGATCTCATCAAACGTTAGCCCTCGCGTCGTCGGTCGCTCGTCGACGACGACGGTGTCGGCAGACACACGCTTCGCTCCGTTGCCGACCGGATGTCCGCGCAGCAGCACGATGTCGTCGGCAGCGATATCGGCGACGTCGGCGTCGGCAGGATGTCCGCACACCAACACGATCTCATCCGACAGAGAATCATCTGACGACGACGCCGACGTTTCTGCCGCTTGTCCGCCGCTGCCGCCGACGTCAGAGTCGTCTGCGTCGTAGAAGACGTCATTGTCGACGCTGCCGCCGCTGCCTGACGCAACCTGCACGCCGAGTCCGCTGCGGCATGACGCAGCGCTGACGCAGGATTTCTCGATCCTGATTCCTTTGTGTTTCCGCTGCGGCGGAACCGGACTGAGTGAACCCGGTTCCCTGTCCGAGGCGGAAAATCCTAACGTGTCCTTCGTCATTTTTCTAATTACGTCGACGTGACGCTGATGCTAATTAGAGATGACGTCACACAGGATAAAAATTCTCCGCTTCACACGCATTCCTTTCTGCTGGATTCTTTCTATCGATTGTTTTTTCGTCGGAAGATCCTTTTTCGGTCTAACGGATCTGCAATGCAAATGAGCGAGATAATTATACATGCATGCAAATACCCTGCTTCGCGCCTTTCTCTGTGATCGTTCTCCGAGCCCCAACCGTACGCAGTAACGTTTTAAAATACATTTCTATGAAATGTTTACCAACGGCCGCAATGTAAAGTTCGTTTTTACCGGACGACTACGGCGAGAGAATGCAGTGGCAGTGAACCGACGTCTGCACTACTAGTCGTTATTCTAAAAGTCGCCATAACCCCATTACATTCTGATATCGCGCTGGTTAACCGGTTCGAGACAGACGGAGAGTGAGATCTCGCGGTCGGGCTTATGATATAAAAGCCTCTTGTCATTCAAATTCGCCGATCAACTGCCGTAACGTTCTCTCGTCGTAGCGGAATATTAGCACGCGTTATTCTTCCTCTCCACGATCCGACCTTGTATCTTGTGTCCTCGGAATATTAACTCGTGGTCAGGTCGGTTACCGGTGTCAGGTGATGAAACACATCAATCAGCGCTTAATACATTCACCTATCAGTAATGTATAACATCCTATATAACGTAGAGACGATCCCCTAGATATAATAGAGTATAGGAGTCCTAGAGAGTCCCTGAGATCCTAGTGATAGAGTATAATATCCTAGATATAAAGTCCTATATATGTATAATATGATAATATACATATATTATATTATCTATATCTATATTATATCATATTATATTATATTATCTTATCTATATCTATATTATACACTCCTGCTACTACCGTAAAGAGGCGGTGGTGGCTGTTACATATATAGCTGCCAGGTATCGCCGGCGTGGTTTCGTGGTGTAGGATTAGTATAGGGCGGCAACATGAGCGAGACACAGGCATGCACTACTACATAATTCTTACCCGTGACGGATGAACTGTGGAGGGTTTTAACGAGACCCGGGTGAATGCAGGAGTGATGGGGGCAACGCACCACGGTCGTAAACACGTTTAAATTAAATTACGCATCACGATATATATATCGCGGTTGGCAACCATATCGATACTTCTTTTCATCGAAATTTCTTCGCATCGAATTTTGTCCACAAAGCAGGAGCTCTCAGTATCATTCAGTATCACGCAGATAGATAACGCAGGTACTGAGACACAAATAGATAACGCAGGTAGAGGGACACAGGTAGATAACGCAGGTAGAGGGACACAGGTAGATAACGCAGGTAGAGGGACACAGGTAGATAACGCAGGTAGAGGGACAGATAAATAATGCAGGTAGAGAGACACAGGTAGAGAGACACAAGTAGAGGAACACAGGTAGAGAGACACAGGTAGAGAGACACCGGTAAATAATGCAGGTAGAGAGAGAGACAGTTTATTTGAGATAATTCAGCGATCCGTGCTCTATGCGCTCCGTGACAACCCCACGCGGACGCTGCTCACTTGACAAGGTTACCACGTGACATTGTCCAAATGGAACTGTAAACAAAAGTTTGGACATGACCTTGGCATGACCTCGGCATACATAGAGGGCGTTAATCATGCTAAACTGTGTCGGGGCGTCGCTCGCAGGCACGTACGCAGGAATCCGCGCACGCCTTAACGATGTCAAGTAGCCGTTAGGGTCCCCTCCCAAATTCTAGTCTTTCGTTAAATGGCGGTTATTTCGGTGTTGACTCGGACATAAAGCAGCGTGGTAACGAACGAACGACAAATCAACACAAGCGCATCCATTACGACGCATTCTTAAAACGTCAATACGCAGTTTGAGCAAAAAAACAACACAATGCAGATATCGCCGATGGAACCCACGAGTATTTACGGATTTCGGATTTCAACTGACTTTGACGGTCAACGGACACTCGCGTTGTTTGCAAAGACCTTCCGATGTTATTTCTACCGTTTAAACGATCACACAACCACGAGAAAAAAACACCACACACCACCACACAATATACTAATAAATCCCAACTAAGACTCACATCGCGTCGGCGAACGCAGTTTATAATAACCGCAGGGGGCAGAATAAAGATGGGAGAAGAAGAAGAAAAAAACACGGTTCCTGTTCGTGATCCACGCCTCGGGTTTTAATTTTGAATCAGGCGGAGGCAGTTGAGAACCTCGGCAGGAGGTATAGCCGAGTAAGCGAGTGAGTTGGCAGCCATGACGTTAGTAATCCAGCCCACGCCCAACGGCTCGTTTATTGTCTAGTTTAACCGCCAAAAACGGTCGCGAAGTCAGTTAAGATTTAGCCTCCCACACGTGATCCTTACATCAAAAACCGAAAACACCTGCATGGGAAAAAAATATTAAGAAATAGAGAAAATATGGAAATAGATAAAACCGTTGAAATTCCTGCGTGAAGTTTCAAATGTCTATTATGTTGTTTGCGAGATGAAGAACTCAAAACCAACGTAGACACGTATCACGGATAGAAAACACATATTATTATGTTCTAACTATTAATCTTTGTTAACATCTCCATCGCTATGAAAGTTATCAAAGAATCCACAATAGAACATTTCTATGATAGACTCTTGAAGTTATCTGAGGCGGTAATCCATGGCCTGTATAGAGGATGGAGTATATACCGAGTATTTAAACGTATTCATATGCTAAGTATTAAATGCTCATCTGTATACGCTTCGCATAGCCGGCGGTTGTTCAGTAACTATTGTACACACGGACATGCATACTATGGATTGAATAGCAAAACTCCGGGCAATACGAGGAGATTATGCAATTTCTATGACATGCAACAGAAATAGGTCGTGACAATGCCCTCATTTTACATACGCTATAGCCTTCATTCGCTCAGATTTCCGGAATCGTCTATATTCCGCAACGAACCTTCTATTTTTAAACTTTAATTCGAGCGCCGTAGGCTAGCGAAAAGCTGCACTTGTTCCCAATATCCCACTATAATTATGGGTCTCTTTTATAAACGCCGTAAGAGACGCCATTTTGCTGTCACTCACGACAGAACTGTAACGTACGGAGTAGGTTAGTTACGGACAATGAACGTGGGTGGATTCATGTCACCTAACCTTAACATAAGGAATGTATTTGTGAAAAAAGGAGGTTAGTTATCACGCAGAAAAAACAAATATGAACGACACTAAATCTATTATTATACTCACTGACAACATATCTTTAACCCATGCAGTTACAAATTACATGAGAAAACACGATTTGACTTATTGTACGACACATAGAAGTATATAGAGACAAATATTATATATATATATATATATATATATTATTTTCATGGTACAACAAGTGCTACCGGTCAGAAACAACGAAACAAAAAACAAGACACATTATGCAGCTTTTTACCAACATATGTTGGTTCAAACCCCATAACGGCACTTTCAACCTTTACTTCGTGCAATGCTGCTATTGCTTTATAATAGGATAAAACAAGTGGTATAACAAGGCAAAAATTGCCAATGTGATTCCCGGTAACATATTCACTATGACTATATCGGCAAGGAAAGTTAACGTGTAACAAACCCAATTAAAATTTAAACTTGACACTTAAAGGTAAGCTATAAGACGACGAAGAATCACTGGTCTAAGTAGACTAACTACGAAGTCCTGTCGATTTCACGTGTGCAATGCGTACAATAGTCACGCAACCTTCCATAGCCAAAAAGAAACTAAAGGCAGCTAAAAGTAAGATTTATAGAGAAGTAGACCACCCGTGTAAGCGACCAAACCTTTGTTAATCTGTTTCACACACACATGCACACACACACACACACACACACACACACACACACACACACACACACACACACACACACACACACACACACACACACACACACACACACACACACACACACACACACACACACACACACACACACACTACACACACACACACACACACACAC